CGTATATTTCACCCAACAATGTAAAGTGCATTGAAAGAAAATCCAAAAAGCCCAATTGGTCGTTATATAAATAAAAATAAAGAGACACCGCAGGATATTCGAACCGGAAACGAAAAAGAGATCTCGACTGTCCTCACTCTTCCTCTAACCGTGCCCTAAGGATAGAGCTGAAGCTTAAAACAAAACCCTATTACTGGTAATCAGATGGACCCAGAGATTTCTGAAGGAATAAAATAGAAGCGGAGATAATCTGTTTTTTTTTCTACTATTTAACTGAAAAAATCCAGGCCATCGTGATGGAGGAGTGCTGATATGGGCCTGGAAGTTAATTGAAAGTTTACGGTATAGTGAAAGTCCAACTTTTATTTTTCAAAAGTTTAATTGGAGAATTTCCGGTGGCCACACGCATACAATACGAAATATATCTCTTTTATGGTGGAATACCGTCTTTCACGAACTTTAAAACAAATATCCTTCGACATCCGAGGGATTGAAGCAAAGACCTCTTCAAAGACGATGAAAGTGCCCATTAGTGTCAATTTTGCTTAGAAGATTACATATTTGATCCCTGGATCGCAAACCCGATTGAAATTGGTTCAAAAATCGAATCCGTCATAACCGGGGAGAGATCAATTTTTAAAAGCTTAAGCCTGTGGAGATAATCTTCCCCTAATAATAATTAATGCACAAAATCCGCCATTTCCAAGAGGTGTATTTTCTCCACCGAGTAGATTTTCAACTCCACGCATTAGCTCCGCCAACACTATCCATTTTTCTTCATATTTTAATGCCTGGAGAGTACCCTCCCGAGGTATAGAGTAAAAATTCAGTGAATCCACATCAAAGAGTGCTGCGTCACCGCAGCTAGTGCAGGATTGGATGAAATACAGTTTCAAATATCGATTGTGCCCTAAAAATATGTGATAACCGGGAGGCCCAATAAAAATATATCGTGGGACTGTTAAAACCGAGGGACTCTTCCACTTGTCTCAAGCCTTGGAGCTTTCAATTCGTATCAGCAATAATCATTCACCGAAATAAAATGCTCGATGGGTTGAAATTCATTAAAAATAAAGATGAGATAAATGAGGCCATCGTAATCGCAAATGAGAGACGAATTGTAATATAAGATGACGACTATCGATTCTACCACTTCTCGTAGCCATCGAACGAACCACCGACCAGCAATTTCATCTTCTCGCACTCCTCTTCGTCCTCTTATAAAGTCAATTACCTCAGTCGCTCCCCCAAGTAGACGAATATTCGATCTCATGACAGTTGAATTGCTATTCATTTCGATTCCATGGATTTTCCATTCCCATTGAACATTAATAATCATGAAACGACTCTACAAAAATATCAGAACGAATTGATCAATCAAATTCATCTCTCAATGTTGCATGTCGAGGAATAATGCTCACACTCATTAAAATAAATGTAACTAAATGCATGAACACCGAATTGGGACTGTTAAGTGTCTACTTCGCCTGTCAGACATACCGGAGAACTTCTAATATGCAAGATCGCAGAGAATTCTAGACAGAAGCGTATATGCTAATTCTCTTGGAAACTCTGCATAATGCGCGTCACAATTCCATCAGCTCGTAAGACGCATTACGTCATGAATGTAAAGCCCTATCAGATACGATAGATTATGGCAAGAGGTGCCATTTACACTGATACAATTTCGCAAATTATTACTTTACATCTACCACTTTTCATAAATAAACGGATAAAAATGTTCAATAAAAATTCCAGAGTAATTATAAAAATGACAGTAACGCACTCCACTGAAAAATACTATTTTTCTATCGTGTTTTTTTTTTCGCGAGAGAATCGATGAACGTAAAGAAATGAGTACTAGTAAACTTGCCAGAATCCCATAAACTGCCCAAGAGTCAAGAAATTACGTGCCCGGGCTATCGCTCTCGAGGATTTATGCTTTACCGATCATCGTGGCATTATGAAAAGAAGTGTTGGAAACGAGGTCGATCGATAGATCTGATTTTCATAAAGATACCACCTCTGAAATTTACAAATTACTTTTCTTTCTTCTTTAACAGTTATTCCACTAAAAAAATTTGCGTATCGATTTCCCCCAGAAATTGATTTTTTTCTTGCGTTGTTAGTGGGAGTGGTATACTTGTGATTAATGACCTATGGTAATTGAAATTGAAAGTGAGGTGCATCGTAATTGCCCCCGAGGATAGCTCGTTAAGGTCAAGACCACAACTGATCCATGTGATTGTTTTTTTTTTCCGTTGAGAAAGCTCGGGGTCAGTGAGCAGTCATCCAATAAAGAGAAGTACATGAACTCATCATTCTAAATGACATAAATAATTAGCTGGCGACACAAATTTTTTCGGAAAACCGAAAAATCCGAAAAATAAGCGAGGGATCAATCACATGAACAATTCGGTTTGGGAGAATGGATGAGATTGTGGTCAAATCAAGTGTCACGGAGGCTCCTGTAGCCCAGTGTGATACCACCCCATTACCCAATGGCATCATAGGAGCCATCTTACCCCCTTCTCCCTCCCCTTCTAACAACGTCGTCTAATGGCTGACATACCAGGTGCATTATGCACATTCACTGCTCGTCTCTTCAATGTAACCCGTCTGACACTTCACTTAATTTATCACGTATGAGAGCTATATACACATTAGTTATGAATCTGTGCACTATGAATATCAAAATTCTGACGTACGAGAAAGTCTTCTACTCACTAAGAATAATTAAAAGAATTTTAATATCGAAAGGTTTAAAAAAAATGAATTTTTGTGGAATTATTACATGGAAACTCAAATTTTATAGTGGGATGGCTAAAAAAAAATTGTGGAAGTATCGAAATTCCACAAGATTAGAAATAGGAAATGGCTTTTTAAGTCTGAACCCAGGAATTCACCTTATAACGGTGGAATGACGCGTTCCCGTTGTTCCCCTTGTAAGTAGTAATTCCCTGAAGAGACACTTGCATTGATTAAGCCCCTTATCGGATTGCAGTGGAATCAATGGCACAACAGGAGCCATAAAACGATGTGAGTAAAGTGTCACCCTGGGAGATAAATTCAACGCCCTAACGATCCGAAGGGGAGAAATATCAAAAGCTGTGGCCTCAATCGAGGCCCAGAAATCCCCACTCATCACCTAAATGATCCTCCATTTTTTATGGTGATGATGAAGGGATCAAACTTAAGACGAGAATAAAGTTAGCCCTATTCGAGTCGGCTTTAAAGTTCCATTGAATGATATTTTTTGGATTGACTCGATTTTATTTGAAGGCTGACTTCAACTGGGATTTTCCACTTGATTCTAATCAATATCTCGTGAGAATAATTGAAGCTCGACTTAAATGAAGTCGGATCAAAGCCTCAATTGAGCTCAAAAATCCACACTCATGGCAAGAATACTCCGGCATTTTGGGTGACGATAAAGGGATGAAACTTGAGACACCTAGAGTCACCGTCAAGGAAACTTCTGATCCCCATCTCAATGAGAATGTGTCACACCCTTGAAGACACGATGATAATGTCTTAGAAATTACCGGATGCCAGGAAACTCATTATTTTTATTAATCACTCACTTTCCGAGAATGAAAACAACAATTAATACTCCCTAGGAGTCCAACTTGTCCACCGTAAAACCGAAACTTGGATACTGAATTAACAAAACCACTCAGGATGTTATTAACGTAAAGAAACGATGACACTGTCCCAAAAGGAGAATCGAATGATTCCCGGAGGCTTTCTCAAGGAAGTAACTGCGGTTATGAGGTACCTCCAGCAATTTTCCCGTGTAAAAAGCTACCCCTCGAGATTTCCGACTTGAATTTAAAGTTAAACTTTAAAAATGGCGGTGTAGAAATTTTCTCCGGAGAAAGAACGGTCTTTTTACTGCACATTATCTCACTAATCATGTCAATTATAACTTCTTGATTAATATCATCGTCAGATGATTTTAATGAATTTTCCCGTGAAGTAATTTCTCGATTTTCTCCCCAAATCGAATTTAATTCAACAAAATTGAATGGAAAATAAATTCTTTACTTTCGTCATGGATTCTCAATCGAAATGCCATGGCCATGAATTTCAATATTCTCCTGAATTTCAAGAATTTCGGAAGGGAATTCAATCGAACTATCTTTCAACAGCGTCACAAATATCCGTTCAATACCAAAAGAGCGGAATCTCTGGGAAAAACTCGGTGAGGGTAAAATCTCGATATGAGGGTCACGTCCGGAGCTTTCTAACGAGATCAAGTATCATTTAGCCAAGAACTTGGCTTCGACATTTACCGAAATAATTTTGCTAGGCCACTTCATAAGTACCACTCGTTCACTGATAAGACGCCAATCGAATTCCTAAATCGCCGTTGAATTTTATTACTCCAACGGTTTGAGATTTCGCTCCCCCAGGAGTTCACGTATGTACGATATTATGCTTACTCCCAGGGGTACAAGTGCATTCAATAAATCTGCAAGTTGGTCTTCCCTGTGACATGCCCTCTAACATTTCGAAATTTCGAGACAATTTATCATTCACCAGTGCACGCTCATCGTACAGAACAAGAAGATAAGAATGTACGTGTTGTTTAGTCATCCCGGTGGAAATCTCAGAAGTCATCCCGATAAAACCTGATTTAGTATTGATTTCGGCAATAATAATACATCATCTCTCTATCAAACTTGAAATAATAAAATAATAAAAACTCGTTTTTTAAATTTCCCTCCCCGGTCATGTAATTTTAATGAATATACATTTTTCATTAAAAATTCTCGCACAGGAATATCCCAGGCAGACGATCTCGAACGACTTTTTGACCCCGACATAAACATTAATTGGATTCACATGGTAATTCCATTATGTAAGAAGAATGATCGATCCTACTTATTTAAAATCTAGGGCCTCTCTAATCGCAATGCAATAGTGTCATGTATCCAGCGTTCAACGAGCGTTCGCCATTATACATTCGTTTTAATTAATAATCGTTCAGTACTCACTCTGATGGATTTGCGTTGACCAGCGGCTTCGACACATGGAAATCCACCGCACTGAAACACAAATGTAAATTCATCATGCATTAATAAATCAAACTCAAACAACATGAATTGAGGAGTCATTTGGTAAATACCAATCAATATTTACAGTAATTCTGGGGACTCCACCCATGTATGAGAGGAAGGAGAAAAAATAATGGGGATTTTAGTTGGAATATCAGAAATGGGTGTAAAAGAAATTTTTTCCCTGGCATAACGCGAACTCAGAGCATCCAGAAACGTAAATCTATCCAAACATTTCGAGTTTATACGATCCCACCAGCTGCTCGTATTTGGTAACTGCACTCCAGGCTACATCGCCGTCTTTTCGTGACATCTAACGAAATAAGGGTAAATATCCGGAGAAATATAGGCGTTATTTGTGGATTTATGGGAAATATCATTCATTCGATCTCAAAGCTCGAGAAAAAATTTTTTTTTCATTCAATCAGAAACAATAAAAATTAAAAATATTGCAGTGAATTTATTGCAAAATTTCTCCCACTGAAATTTCGGGGAATTGATACCGGACATGGTCCCGATATACTGAATTCTCCATATCCCATATGCATTTTATCCTGCTGACTCGTGAATGGTCGATTTTTATTTTTTTTCGAACCTCGCGTTTCTACGTGCAAGTTATCGTTCGAACACATGCAGGCGATAATGAAGCCAGTGGGTCAAGTAATGAATGAATATAATTTACAATTCGAAATATCGCTTCGCATGCACATCGGATATTTACAGCTGTGAGAGAACAATGGTATGGAAGCCCTCTCGAATATACAATTCATTTCACCGTGAACATGACGATTATACGCCAGCTCATCAGCATCTATTTTTTTTGGGAACTAAATTCATAACTCCCATGTTAACCAAAATGGATATGAAAGAATATATTCATAGAATTGAATTGATTCGATTAAAAAAAAATTGCATGAAATTTTCTGCATGAAATATTCCGTTGAATTATTGACTGAACATTTTTTTCCACTTAAATTTCTGGCGTTTAATTCAAATATTTTCGATATTGTATAGAAATTGCAGACAATTGATTGACGATCCATTCGCTAACGGAACAGTTCATTGGGCCGATCGTTTATCCATAGTTTATTGATTTAACGGTAATTCGATATTACGATTTTATCGAGCACTAGTTGGGTGTATAAATATGATATCGATAGGGTCCGTAGTAGAATGCGATTTTATTGTTCGTAGTTATATGAAGCCCTTTATCCCACTTACTGCATCATGACAAGCTAATAATTAACGAGGGAAAATAATAGAGGAAGAAAAACTGAAAAAATTACACATGCTTTTAAAAAATACAAGATTATAAAAATTTTATATCAATATTATGGAAGTGATATCTGTAATATAGAAAATATTTGTGGCCAAGAGGTCGCAATAATTTTCGTGAATCGAATATACATCCCATTAATCATTTTTATAATTGATCCATTACATATTTGAATAATACCTCTCGCGATTTTCATTACGCGAGTTGTTACGTAAATTTCCCTCGGCAATTATCCCCGCAATATTGCAGAGGAATTGGTAATTGCATAACGCGATGAATTAACACCGTATTTTATTATAGAAAAAATAAAACCGCAAAGATATAGTGCAAGTTACGTTTTGAGTCAAGTCCACATCAATTTGAGAAATAATTGCAACAGTCGTTAGCGACCACTCTAAAACATTTCGCAATTTTTACGATCAACAAAGTTTTATGGAAGACCATTGCAAGGCTATGGCACTTGACCATCAAATGGATTTTTCAATTGGCATTGATCAGACGTTGATCGCAGTACCATCAGAAAGAGAATATAACATTTCCGCACAGACCGCGTGATTACCAGCGCGGAGAGAAAGTTCTTGATAGAATTTATTTGCCTAATGCTTTTTTAAATTTACATACTGCACAGGGCATTTCGAAAAAATCACAATTAATTTTCTTTCCATTTATTTTTCGCCGGAGGATTACGCAGCTTTCACGCAATTCCTCGGGGATTTTTTTCTTCATGCTCTCTTTATTCACCTGTGATGCTAAAATCCTATTTTCAAAATGTAATTAACATTTTTATGTTTCAGTGTACTGTAGTGTACAATGTAGTGTGAAGCGTTTATTACGTGTTTGAAGACGCGGGAAATGACATGAGTGGTTTGTCCACTTGAGATAGTCTCCCTGTTTCTCGCATTACAGACCCCCAAAGCCGTTGCCGTTAGTTTCTCTCGTCGAATAAACGTCAGTTATACGTCGAAGGGTGAAGCGAAGGAAAAAAAAATCCTCGAGTGAGGCAAAAAAAAAGGAATAAGAGAGAATGTTGGACTCCTTAATGGCAGAATGACGGCCCAAAGGGGCGAAATAAGATGGCACCGGTAGAAAACGAGATATCGATTTCTCTATATAATTCGTCTTCGTTTTATTATGGGAAACGAGCGGGTGGTCGGTCTCCCTCTTAAGGCCGGGTTGGATGGACGGCTTAATCCTTCAAAGGGTCAGGTCTAGGGGGAATCTCAGGGCGACATTTATATCTTGGAAAAATTGGTGAAGCCAGGGTTCCCATTAAAAATGTTACCTCAAAAAATTCGACTCAATCCCAAAAATTTTTTGTCCCGAATCATTAAAAAAATTACAGAACTTATGAAAAAAATACGTAATTATTATTAAATATTTTTCTCCGTGCAGGAATCTTGGAAAAATTATTTTCAATGTATTTTTTTCTTGCTTGGAAAAGATGGATGACTATTCGCTGTTTTCATCACTTTCATCGGTCGCACAATTTTCCATCAATCATGAGTCCCGCATAATAACAATAATATTGCAATTCACTTAAACAATAAATTCTGTCTGAATGCAGATAAAAGTGTCACAGACTGAAAAATTCATGATTATTAAACCGAGACATAAATAAAAGTACTAGAGAAATGAGCATTTCTTTGAATGCTATTCGTGTCCACTTGATCGTTATGTGTTCACGCGAACATACTCTTAATATATATATGTAAAATCGATCGTTTCGAGTTTACCAAGCACGAAATTCATGAAATATCTCGGTTTTCCCGGCTCTGTGTGCACCCACGATAGTTGGCCTCGAATTTCTCGGGGGCTTTTCGCATAACGATGCGAGTTATCGATCGAGTCGTATGTCACGCACGACTCGCGAGTATGAGAAAAAAACATTTACTACCAGAAATAAAGGGCGTGGAAGAGAGAGGGGTAGGCAAAAAAAAAAACATTATTTTCACGAGGGTAATAATTAAGAAGAGAGAGAAAAAAAATTCTAGCCGAGGCAATTAAATTCAAGTACCCACTATTCAGTAATTACTCGTTAAATTTCGTCATTCTAGCTATTAACCATTTTTTTTTAAATGACTAATTGAATTACGGCCAAAGTTTGCATTTATCAGGGCCAGCACTTGAACCATTCACGTGAATGCATGTGAGATGGTGAGGGGATGAGAAACGTCTCGAGGGGTAAATTTAATAGCGTGCATGAGTGGCTGAGTCGAGACGTTTCCTTGGCACCATCGCAAGTGTCTGGAATCGACGGGATGTGCATCGACAATCAAAAATAACACGGATACCTCACATTCATTAATGAATTTTATACAATCGATCGAGTCACTCGAACACTCCGTACGATAAAAATAAACGATAATTGGGTGACGATTTCATAAAATAGATCATTCACCCTAACTGAAAATATTCATTACATTTGCATGAAAAGTCAATGTCAATTCGAATTTCATCCAAACTTCGGCTGGACTAGATTCATTAATTTTACCTTTAATATTTTTTTCCCGATTCCATATCAACGCACTAATTGATTAATGAATATTGATGAGGGATTGAATAAAATTTTCCTTCTCTGCATAATCGACGTCACGAAATAACAGTGGATAATTGAAATGATTTGCTATACTGAAACCCCAGATTAATCTTTACAATAATGAAATGCTCTTCACCGATAACGAGTACTGAATTATCACCGAAAAATAAAATAATTAATCATTTAAAATCATGAATTGCTCCACATTCGAAATATATTTGCGAACAAACTCGGTGGTAACATTTGCCATATATAAAATAAACTGACAAATTCGTTCGCCAATTTCAACTTTTAATTAAATTAGGTTTAATAAAACGTTAATTAAACAATCATGGGTGAGTAATTCCCGGATTTTGAGAGTGCATATCATTTGCACATTTGAATTTCAAAAGTTATGGTAATATTTGCAACATACGAGTCACATGGAGATGTTGGACATCCGAGAAAAATCTGAGGAATTTGCAAAGATTTTTTTTGTTTGTAATTATGTCATTCGAGGAATGAATGGAATGCCTCTGGCACTTTGATATCTAGTCCTCAGAAGCAAGAATTTCCAGGGGAAATTTTCAAGAAGTTTCTCATGACATTAACAAAATGCCCGAGGGATTCTCACAGTGCGCGATGATCTTGCGCTTGAAATCCCCGAGAATATCCTGAAGTCTCAAGATTCGCTATCCTTTTTAGGATTACCGCGAAATATCCCCCCGCGAATTGAATGGCCCAGTAAAATCTACATGAATTCCACTCCATGCAAACGATTTTTTAGGATATTTTCGTGGGTGTGGACTAAACTCCAGATAAGTGCTGATATCATTTTTATCTGATAAATTGAATCACTCGGTAAGCCATAAATAAGCGAGAGACTTCAAGGTTCGTACTGAATTGGAGCAATTAATTCAACCCGAAGCAATTAAAAGTCTTGACTTGGAACTTTTACAAGAATATTCTTCGATTTTTGATTGAATTTTTCCGTGAATATACCGTCACGAATCACTTGAATTGAAATATCATTTCTATTTTTACTGTTCGATCACCGACTTGTCATTCCGGGAAATTATGGAACCCGGGCGAGTAAATCGAGAACTGTCTGGGTTGTAGGAAATGCCTAAGGGTTGCAATTGATTTGAGCTCGTTTCAAGCATACCCATCAACAATACGCCATACACAGCATTTGACCCAATACAGAGCTGCACTCACTCACATATTGATCGATTGCGCTTAAAAATAAATAACACGCTATGTGCATGTAATATTCTGTCGTTCAATACGATATCCAAGGAGCCCCGAATTTTTCAATTCAATCAGAACATTTTTTTCAACTCGAGATGTCTCATGGAAATTTCTAAAAATGGAAGAATCGCAAAAAAATCGCGAAGGAGTACCGAAATTTCCGATACAATCAGGGAATATATATATGTAAACAGTGAATATCACTGACAGCATATATTACACGGTGAGTTGACAGTAACAAATGGGTTGTGACGGGGAGTTACCTCCGCTGTTTTTCCAACACGTGTTCAATTTCTTACGGAGTCATCTTTTTAATCCCTTGAAAGGCTTTCAACTCGTTCCGATAAAGTGATATGAAAATTCACTGGCTGAATAAACCCATCAATATTACCCATAAAATATCGAATCACCAATTTTCCCAAAATATTATACTGTATGCCGTGTGAACGTTACGCAATTAATTATTTTTTCATTCGACAAAGTGTTCGTAAATTTCAAGCAACCGAGGAAAACCGTTTTTTCCTCTTTTCTCAATTTCCGATGAGACTTGCTATAAATAATCAATGAAAATAAAATTCTAGAATAAATCCCCAATAACCGCCGGAAAAAAAAATCCTTACCACAACTTTAATAACCGAATGGGAGAGAAAAAAAAATTAATTGATCAAGTAAACATGATGTCATCATGCCTCTATCAACTTCATTTTTATTGAACCCCTACCCAATCCCCGGACCAAAATAAATAAACGAGAATTGATAGCAGAAGTCAATCAACTCATATACGTAACAAACGACCTGTTATCGAGAACAATCTCATAAATAAATGTCCCACCGATAACAATCAGGCGTGAAAAGGCTCATAGAAAAAAAAATTGGTGAAAAAGAGAAGAACAGGGGGAGAAAAAAAAAATATCGCAGAGAGTTCACCGCGACAATTCTTCTTCCCTCCCGCATCCAACAATCTGAGGGATAAAAAAGAAATTGGCCCCGAAAAGACGCCAAAAATAATTTCACCACTCGTGTTTGTGTATATATATACGTATCCACATATATATACAAAAATATATATAGAAGGGGAATAGTGAGTTTGTGCTCCAAATCCACGTTTCACCCCCTTGTGCCGCCCTCTTGCCCCTTGCTACCGATCGATATCCACCTTCCGGTATTTCTATGTGTTAGATTCTATAGGAAACGGTCCCACGAGCCACTTTGGCCCCTTTTTTCATAATTCAGAGAGAAAGAGAATGAATAATTAATGAGGATGAGAGAAAAAAAATCGAGACAACGCGGGAAATACCAATTGTTTCCCGTCATTTTCTTTTTACACTCGTGGAGATGCTGATTGAATTCACGTGGAAGTGCCATTAAGGCATCATCAAGTGAGAAATTAATTTTTAATATTTTCCACATGTTACGTGAATTTTTTTCTTCAAATATCAATGAAATTATAGTTCGAAAAATTTTTTCAAGGATTGTATTGGAAAATTTAGAAAAATAATAGGTAACCGTATAGATGTAGTTGGGGAAGGTCAAAAGTTATGTCCTGAATACATTGACCTAAATTTTCCTGATTTCTATCAATTTTCATGGCATAGGTAAACAGAAAATTACTGTTTCCATGTTTCACAAAGTTTCCACCGCTCAATTGTGAAATTCTCCGAAATTTCTTCGAAACAACAATTGGTTAACAATTCCCAAGAATTGCAACGGCAATTGCAGGGAAAAATAATGAACAGTGCACGTGTGCTGCAAAAAGGTCAAAAGTCGAGGCCTTCCCCCTGTATATTTGGTCATCGTCGACGTCATACCGTCTATGACGCCTATTTTATCAATAAAATATAAATATATCTGGTACACGCTCCCAGAATAGAAAAAATTAACCAAGAAATTGTCTATGGAGGAAAAGCTTCCCCGTAGATCAATAATTTTTATTCAATATCATTGAATATATCTCTGATAAAAAAAAGTGATGTAAAAATAATCCCAAAGGGCTCACCTTCCCATCCCGATTCTTAATTTCCTGCCTCCTCGGCACAAGATCCTCACCATCAGCATAAACAAGATTTCTGATGACTCCATTGAACCTCGGCTCAAATATAACACTGGGTAACGCCAGAAGCGTCAACTTATTATTATACCAACTAGGCATACCCCCGATGTAAACATCAGAATTACTTGAAAATTTTCCAAATTCAAATTCCTTTCCCCTCGACGTGGAAGTGGCACTCGCACCATCCACCGTGAGCGTTGTATTTTCATTATTTCTCGTAATCTCAACCTTGTGCCAATGATTATCACCAAGATCATGACCAACAGTAACAATTTGCGCCCCACCACCGAGATTGTACCTCAGTCTAAGCGCACTTTCCACCAATTTTATTTCAAAAAAATCATTATTACCCCCGTCATCAGCGTACAACAAAAGGCCATTTCCCTGTTCTGTTTTGAACTCAAACTCAAGACTACCGTTGAGAGCTGTATTCCATTTGCGAAATTGCGCGTAACTGGATGACGTACCCTCCAAAACAAAGCTCCAGCACGTTGGCACAAGGAGGACAAGTAAAAATCTCGCAATCATGATTAAACAATTATTCGTTTAATCAATTAATCACTTCATCAATTCACAATCACTCACTCATGTATTACCGAACCGTTAATCAATTGAAAACCGAAAAAGTCTTCACCTGTTGTCGGTAATAATGCTCACTGCAGTGCCATCGACACCAGAATTTTTGATATATTTTTTTTTGATTATTTTGGGTCAGCTCAGCGAATACCACGATCGCCCCATGATCTATCAACGATCCACAGTGTCAAAATAATGCGATATCAACGATAATATCGATGTATCCTGTCCAAATTGACGTCAACTCTCTTCTACGATTACTACGATCCCCTCCTAACCGCAACAAAAAATTAATGGAGCTTTATCATTGGTCGAGCTTTTCTCCCAAGGACGTGACGCACTGCTGACACGATGTGGTTATTTTATTCACAGATATTCACGTGAGAATAACAGATAAACAAGATGAGCTGCGATGAGATGAGATAATGAAGAACTCAAAATACAACGACTCAATTAATTACTGACTCTCTACCACTTGTTTTTATCAATTATTTAACGATAAATCCGTAACACATAATTGCCGAGATCACTGAACGCTCCATGATGATTATTTATTTAATTATTTCAGTGGAGATTCGAGTAATAGGTGATATTTGTTGTTTCAGTGCTGATGACTGCACTTTAACCCTCACTCAGATCTCCAAATTCCGGTGCTTTCCCAATTATTTTTGAATGTTCGATCATACTAGTATGGGTTTTCGTGATTATTGACGGTTTTTAGGAAGATTTTTAGTGAAAATGGGTGATAAATTAGTGTTTAGGTGATCGTGTTGTCGCTTATACGCGGCTACGGTTTATAGACTGCGGTGACAAGAAGAACTGAGGGAAAATTGTACGGTAGCTTCTGGGAGGACGCCGACGCATCGCAGCCTGCCATAATGGCGCATGCGTTTCGCGGAGGGATCGGGAGGATTTTTGGGGTGGTTAAGGGGTGAGTGAATGTAGTGTGTTTTAGGTATTGAGAGGTGTAGAATACAGTCACGGAGGTTTTGTGGTATATTCTCGGGATATTCCGACTGCAATGTCTGATCAAATTGTTGATATTTTTCACTTTGGGGGAATTTTTTTCTGGTAGGTTATGACAAGCCTCGGATGACTTGGATGTTCAATTGAAATTGATTATTGAGTACTCGAAAAAAAGGGATATTTTATTTTGACATTTTCAGGTCTCCAGTTGAAACTATTGAATATCTTAATTGAGATTCGAACAGACAGCAGTAGTTCTAATTTTACATGCGGAAATTGACGGAAAGTCAATGAGAATTCCTTGCATCGCAGGAATGTCTCAGGAATTGGAATTATTCATTTCGGAAAAACCTCAAATAGCCCGTCAATCCGGGAAGTTAGTAACTGGGAGTAAATTCCTATATTCTGTCGGCCCAATCCGAGATTCGACTACTCACGTTCGCATCATGAACGTCATCATTAAAAAGAAATAAACCGAGTTACCCAGCATCAAAATGGACCCTCCACCGGAAGAAATATAATGATCTCATCCAAAAATAATTTTCTCCTATCAATATCCGCGAACAAGAATATCCGAAGCGGTGAACCTTGAGAGTTAGCACTAGAGAAATTTGCAAATCCATACAACCGACTGAAATAATGAACTGTCCCGACAATAGCTAGATTGTAAAAGGCACTGAAGGAGCTTTTGGTTGGAAGCCCTCGACCAATCTGTTAAAACGATACAATGCATTGCCGTTAAGACAACTCCAAAGAAAAAGGGATAGACTCGGTGAAAGAGATGCGAAGAAATATGAGTGGCGAAGGTACTGAAGGACGCAAGAGAAAAGGTGGAAAAGGTGAAAAACAAAAGTGCACTGCAAGGTGAATGAAAAAAAAAATAAGGTAAAAAAGGGGGTAAAAGTAAAGGACAAAAGAAGAATAACGAATGACGAAGGGAGGAAAACGGTGAACGAGTTGGGGGAGCAACTGAGTAGAACGAAACGTGCTGCTGTGTCGTTACAGTAACACACTATCTACCGCAAGCAGTGTCATCTTTCTCCTCTGTCTTCCTTCTCATGTGCACTTACACAATACTCTCTTTTTTTTTTCATCTCTTGTCCCACTCGTGTTCTTTCTCGGAATGCGTTTTTCCGGAGACCGTTGAGACGGTCGAAATAGATTAGAAACGGAATTCCACGAGGTTTATCCATCTTACTCTGGTGGAGTTGATACTCCGAGTAAAACTGGATTAAATAATAAATTTTCAATTTAATGGATGGGTGAATGGTGCACTTCAAGTTCGTTCAAGGTGCGTTCAATCCGTGAATTCCATCGACCTATCATTTTTTTTTCTCTCTCTTTGTTTTGAGGGATTTACCCTCAGAACAAAATTCTACATCGTTTCCAAGCAAAATTAAAATTTTTTCTTTGGTCGGGATTGGAAAATCGCAATGCATTCATTCGGAACCGAAAACACTCGCAGAAAGGAAAAAAACAAGTAAGAAAAAGAGAAATGTGGGAGCAACTTTGACGATAACTCGTAACAATATGTACAGGGCTCGCGAGGTCCAGAGATTCTACGATGCAGCCACCACTCGCATTTCCCCCGTGGAATTTCTTTTCCCTCAAGCCAAGCCCAACTTCCAACCACCCACCCACCCCCATTTTTTAACTCGAGAGATGGAAAAAAGTGAGTGAAAAAAGAAGAAAATTGCAACTGAAAAAGTTTGCAATTTCGTAGAAATCCCCATACTTTTCCATTGCCAAAAAAAAAAAAAAAGAAATACAAATAAAAAACATTCAGCATCTCGCGAGTCTATATCAACTTCTACGACGTCGAATGCATCCGGAAAAAGGGAATGAAAGAAATATTGTTATCGTCGTTATTCGATGCGGACTGGACAATGGACCATTCACATCTCGACTCTCACAATCGATAAACTCTCAGAGTCATTTCGTTTATGGAATCATCGGTAGTTCTACAAAAATCAATGACACCGCGGTATTAAAACAGGTAATAGTTATTCAGAGCATTTGATAAAACCCCTTTGGCATCGATTCGTCGGCTTTTTTTTATATGCGATACCAAGGCTTTTAATGGACGTATAGGTACTATCGACTTTTATCTCAATGTTTGAAAAATCGACTACAGGGAGGAGCCCCGGGAACTCGGAGTATGCATTCGCGAGGATAAAAAAAACCAAAGACCGAGACTGAATATAGTGGGCTATCTTTATTTCAATATTTTTCAGACTCCTCAATTCCGAGGGGAACAGATTGGTGAACCATATTGTCATGACTATTGAAATTCCTCTCATTTTTTCTCATTCTATTGGGTCCGTAAATTTTTTTTTAATGCTGTGCATTTGAATATGCATCAGAAATAAATTTAATTCAATTAATTCGAGAAATGAAGGATGAAGTGGAATATATTTTTGGATATATTTTTAAATCGAAAACTGGGGAGAAGAGGGAGGATATTTCATGAGAGGCCATGTATATTCGGGTGAGAAATCCGATCTATCAATACGTAACTATAATTATTCTCGTCTTTGATGGAATATATCGAATGATTCAGCTCTTGGACCTGAAAAAGAACTGAATCGTATCGAGTTCATTTCAATGATTCGAAATAAACGACTTCTACTTGATCCTGTATTCTACTTTTGATATAAAAATCCCATCGGAAGATCATGGATTTAATAAATGTTGAGTCAACCAGAGGCTCCCGTCAAATCACAATGAAAATTTAACAACGATATTTAGTACAAATACTGAATGCACTCACATCGGGTGCAATATGCAATCAAACTCTTGCAGAGACATATCGTCGTAGGATTTCCATCGATGGAAATTGTGAAAACAGAAGGGAAAGGGTGAAAAGAAATAAAAAATGGTGTATTGCCGAGTGGTGGAAATTCCGCGGTCTGTCGAACTGTGAAATGAAAGTGGAATCGCCTTTTTTTTCTACCCCTCTTTCGGCACATCAATTCGACGGCCGGAAAATGGAGAGGCTCTGCCGTATAGAAAATGATTTAGAAAAAGAAAAGGAGTGGAGTTAAAATCCCGAGCGTATCGTGAATGTAATATCGCAAAGTACTGACAGGCATTTATGAAAGGTGTTCCATATTGGAGAAGGAAAAAAAAATTTTGTATGAGTGAGAATGAAAATAATCCATTGTTCATTGTACAACAAACTAAAAGAACCGTTGAACCGAGCAATTTTCTCATTTACTAGCTCGCCAGGAATAAGCACATCTATAAGCTTGTCCTCACAACCGAGAAAATGAAAAATTAATTCTCTATTCGTCTTCGGAATCACGTATACCCAGGGATCTCCAGTGAATATCGACATAATATTCGACATGAAAATTCCCATTTGTTTCTTTGACAAACTTCTGTGTTAATGCAAACAGATATTCCGGTGGGAATAAAATTGTTATACATTTCGAGGAGAATGATGAGGAGATAGGCACATCAGACAATGTAAATGCGTTCGAAATAAATAAATAATTTTTTTTAATTGGCGCTATTTTACAGTCTTACATCTACACAAGCCTTTTCTCCCTTAATCTTTTACTCTTTTACAATAATGAGCATTAGTAAATCCTTATATAAAGGAGAGCTCATAACGGGCATTCGAAATATATTGTAGGTAAGATGAGAAATTTCATTACCGACTAACAGCCACGTGGTGATTTCCTCAGGTCTAGAGACATCTGATGAACATTCTCGGAATTATTAGAACATTGGATGGAATGCGGGGGTGTCTGCTCGTCAGCCGATTCGGTAACTGCCTCAGTAGTAATTCCGCTGGCATCGTAGTATTGCACCCCAAGAAAGGGAGGGCGCCACAGGCAATGGGGGTGTCTGCCCGTCATCCCCGCTGTCAGAGGGACCAGTCGGTATTCACTGAAATTAAAAAATTTTCAGCAGTCACTTAAATTTTTTAATTTCAGCGGATACCATGCGGTCCCTCTAACAGCAGGACTGCTACTGAGGTAGTTACCGAGTCAGCTGACGGGACCCCCTCTGCCGCCACCCCCCACCCTTAATTCCACCACCACCCCTTACCCTTAATCCCACCGCCAC